CCTCCTGGTGCACAACAATGCCTGGCCTCATGTGGCGAAAGTATGCAGGCAATTCCTGGAGGATGAAGGAATTGGCACCATTGAATGATACCCATGCTTGCCTGACCTAAATCCAATAGAACACCTCTGGGATATCATGTTTCGGTCCATCCAACGCCGCCAGGTTGCACCTCAGACTGTCCAGGAGCTCAGTGATGCCCTGGTCCAGACCTGGGAGGAAATACCCCAGGGCACTATCTGTCATTTTAATAGTAGCATTATTAGTAGCATGTCCCAACGTTGTCAGGCATGCATACAAACACAAGGGGGCCATACAAACTACTGAGTACCATTTTGAGTTGCTGTAATGAAATTTCAGCAAAATGGACTAGCCTGCTGCATCATTTTTTCACTTTGATTTTTGGGGTGTATCTGAATTCAGTCCTCTGTAGGTTGATAATTTTCATTTCCATCAAATGATGGGGAATCCTTACATACCTAACACATTACCCAGTCTATATCAGGATAGATATCCAGGATGATATTTTTCCCCATTGAGATCTGATGTGTTTTCAAAGTGTTCCTTTAAATTTTGTGTGCAGTGTATTTTAAATACAACTAGTGTAAATACCTGTATTTGACCTGATTTCAGGCTCATATCATACCCTGTACTGGAACACTCAGACAGGGTGGGGCAGTACTTAGGGCCAATCAGGTGTCCTGAATTCTTATGTGCTGACAAGAAATTTACAGACTGAAGGAGAGAGCAGAGAGATTACGTTATTAGTCTGTTGCTGCTCCTTCACTGACCAATTAAAGGCTATGGGCTGGAAGTTGACTTGCTGTGTTGTCTACCTGCTGCAGTGACTATACAGGGCTGTGACAACCTCAAGGGTGGGTGGATAAAAATACAAATCCTTTGGCAGGTATGACAATTTCCATGTATGTAAATGTACATACGGTAAGTACATAAAGTTAAATGAATGGGCTTTAAACTAAAGTACATGAGTACTATGACTTTATCAAATGCTCACTGTATAGAACAGAACTGAATATCACACTAATGTATCATGAGTTGTAGATATAGTAATTTTTAGTAAAAGGTTCCCTGAGACCTTAAAGTTATTTCAAGGGTGTTGAAAAGGCTGGTATAGAGCATTAGCTCTGATCATCCTATGACCCCATACACACAGCTACGATGATGATTACTTAGCCTTATCAATCATTCCACTGGCAGTTTCAAGCTACTGTAGACTAGAGTCCGTGTTTAGTTAAAGTGTCATTAAACCCATATCATACAAACATGTCAATAAATGCTGTATTATTGCTGTTCATACTCACTCATTTACTATGGAATTTGTTTTCTGTATTCTGCAAAAAAAATTTGTTGATCCTGCTGTCCCCTATATCCCCCTTCAGTACATGTCCCCAATGCAGTCGGGGGTTTTCCAGAGTTGTGTTGGCAGCTACTGCACGTGCTCAGTTTTCATTGAGTATCTATGCCGAGCAATTCCTTCCTATCACATCTGAGCAGCCCATGTGACTATAGAGTCACACATGTAGGAGTATACACAGTGATAAATGACAGCGCACTCCCTCCCTCCTACTCCATGCCCACCAACCAGCTAAACACAATGGGGAGGGGGGCGGGATATTACATCTTGATCGATGGAGGCTTTACCTCACTGTTATTCTAAAACACAGGTTGAAGGGGTGTGACACAGCCTGTGACTGGCAAAAATGCACCCACATCATATTATTGACAAAAAATAATAAAGATTTGATTTCAAATACATATGTGTATGACAATTTAAAACTGTTTATTAATATTAATTATTTATTTTTACTCTAAATTTTTACTTTAAATTTTGAACACATGATCAGCAGCAGAGGACTAGAAGCTCCTCCTGCCACTGTTTCCCCACAGACAGATTGGGAAAGGGCTGGGTCATGTGAGAGTTGTATATAGATTAGGAAAAGGTATTTATATGTTTTTTTTATTAAAATAATTACAGAGCCATCATCCACATACAGAAAGGGAAGGGACAATGTAAATTAAACAGTGTGTGTTTAGTATAACTGTAAAGTAGTGTTTTACCATACTGCATTTAGAACATCCCATTTGCCCTATTTAATTAGCTTGAGGAATTTTGACTGTCTGCTTTGCTATATAAACCAAAATACCTGTGTTCTTTTCCTAAAAGTAATACACACTGACACTGGTAATGTAAGCAAATAATATAATGATGTCTAAATGGTCTCTTATGAAGTTATACAATGACTTTTTGATTATAATTAGTTATAAATTGTATATAAATGCAGCCCAATCTGACCACATAATAGAGAAGAAACATATTTGTAAATTTTAAACAAATGTTTTTCTTTATCCTATGAACAGTTAGATAATTCAAAGATACATTCAAGAGTCTCTTTGTTTTTTACTATGATAGCTTTTGAGTTTCAAGCAGCTGCTCAATATGGAAATGATCCTAATTAACATCAGAGCTAAATTGTGGCTGCCAGCATAGCTTTAAAAAGACTTAAATGGAGCCTGGACTTAATCCTATGATGTCAGTTCTATAAGTCTTATGATGTCAGTCCTCTAACTCCTATAATGTCAGTCCTATGACTTCAGTCCTATACATCTTATGTTAGTCTTCCAAGTCCTTTGATATCAGTGCTATATGTCTTATGATGTCAGCTCTATAAATCTTATGATGTCAGTCCTATAACTCTATTCACGTCATTCTTCTAAATCATATGTCAGTCCCATACATAAGTCTTAACATGTCGGTCCCAAACATCTTATGATTTCAGCACTATAAGTCATATGACTTTAGTCCTATATATCTTATTATGTTAGTCTTGTAAGTCCTTTGATATCAGTCCTACAAATCTTATGATTTCATTCCTATAAACCCCATCATGTCAGTCTTATCGGTATAATGATGTCAGTTCTAGTTTTTTAGTCCTAAACATCTTATGATTTCAGCACAGATTTCAGTCTTATATCAGTTATTATAAGTACATGTTATTATGACAGTCCTATAGATTCTTGATGTCAGTGCTATATGTCTGATGACTGTATATTTGGACATGCATCTATAACTGGCCATAGATGGATTGGAATTCAACTGGTTTAGCAGGGACTGGCCGAATTTTGATCCATTTTTCTCTGGCCGTGCCTGTTTGACAGAAGTCGATTGGTAGAGACCACTGTATACATCACTGCAAGTGATGTAATCCTCTTGGCTGGGCTGTATAAATCTTAACACTGGATGCACAAAAATTTTAATCCTTTGACAGGTAAAACAGCTCCTGTATATGTATTCTCTCTATGTATTTTGCTGTTTAGCTTGAGTGCATCTTTAAAGTATGACAAAAGAAAAACCTTTTCTTTAGTTTTGTATAGAGGGGTTAGAACCCATGTCAGGGGTTTTTTTTTGGTCTGTGTCACCCTCATTACATGTGCTGCTTACCATTGTCAACAAAAGAGAAAGTAAAAGAAAATCCCAAATTTATGGTTGTCCCCAGAACGGGAATAGTGGGGATTATCTTCCAATGAGGACACTAGTTCTGGTGATCATTGGTGACAACCCTCACTTTGGATTAATTTCCTCTCACTTCCCATTTTGGCTATGGGACAGGAAGTGCAGGGAACTATCCCCAATGGGACACAGATAGCAAAAAAATGCCTTATAGAAGTTATAACCCTTCCTTACTCTATCCACAAATGTAAAAAAAGTTTAGCCTTTAGTTCTACTTTTACAATCCCTTATAAATAGTTTATGGGAGATCACCCATTATACACTTGAGGATGCAAACTTATCATGAAAAAGGAATTTCTCAAACAAGTTTTCCCAAATATTTAGTTGCCTCTGGATGTTTTAGAATGACTGTGAACACATCAATTAACTGGCAGACACGGGTGATGCCCATAATTTCAGCACTAATGAGTGACTGATTTAAACTGTATATATGTGTCCAATTTTGGATAAGGCTAGCTATACAAGATTCTCTTGTCCATGCCATACTGGCTGAATCAGTGTCTGCATCTGATTGGAAAGTTGCTTTTTTGGCAGATAATTTTCTGCCTGTCGAGTCAGGTGGTGCTGTCAGCAGAAATTGGCCATAAGTTGGACTGTGTATGGCCATCTTAAGGAAGGGTTAAAACCCTGTAAGTTTATTATTTTGCTGTCATGGGACTCCATGCATCCAAAACTGTATGTTTTATATAACTACCATAAAGAGTGTCAAATGGAACAACCTTAGTGTACTGTTCATGTACCCCACTTTACATTGTTTGTTTACAATGGCACCATTTGTTATAGCTGCAGCACCTATCAAATTTGGTCTATATGTTGCAGGAGTGCACTGAACTATACACTTTTTCCATTGAGGAGATGTCCCTTTAGTTCCCGTCTCAGAGATGCAAAAGAAAGTAAAAATTAAGTCCCACAAAGTTAGGGGAGTTCTCCACTTAGACAGTTATTGCCAGGATAGGAATTCCTGTTGAGGGATTTACCTTCCCCTCTTGTTCTGGTGGTAGTTTTGGTTTTCGCATTACTCTCTGTTTCAGTGACAGTGTTCAGTTTGTGGGGAGGTGCAGTGTGGTGCTGTGGCAGTAACAGGGACAGACTGACTCATGGGGCCGGGTAATAGGGGATCATGGGGCCCCTGTGTCCTTGCCCAAACTCAAAAAAAACCTATGAAAAAGGTACCAGGGGCATCTCATGGGGCCCCCTACTGACCCTGGGCCCTCGGGCAGTGCCCAAGTTTCCAAATGGTCAGTCCGCCCCTGGGCAGTAATCACACAGAGTCTGGTTTCAATAACCTTAAAACTTTTATTGAGCAGAATGTTATTGTTACAAACACCCTAGCCTGTGTCCTTGCCCAAACTCAAAAAAAACCTATGAAAAAGGTAACAGGAGCATCTCATGGGGCCCCCTACTGACCCTGGGCCCTCGGGCAGTACCCAAGTTTCCAAATGGTCAGTCCGCCCCTGGGCAGTAATCACACAGAGTCTGGTTGCAATAACCTTAAAATTTGTATTGAGCAGAATGTTATTATTACAAACACCCTAGCGGGAGTGCGCCACTCAGGGAATATCTCACAGTTCAGTGCAGTTCAATATGTGGCTGAGGAGAGGTGCCTACAACATCTGTCTTAGAGACTGAAGTGTGGCCTGGCCAGTCCCAAGTGGGGAGGTTTCCTTCTAGGATAGCAAGTCTCTAACCTTTCCCTTTTCATCTGGAACCTTTCCCTACTGCTAAGTACTTTCCCTAGCAAGCGGGATCTCTCTCATTACACTAGCGACTTGCAGAATGCATACCAAAACCTGAGGGCAGGGACCTATATAGACCCTGCTGACCCAAGATGGCCACTGAGGGTCACATGGCTGAAGGGTAGCCCACCATAATGCTGCTCATTTGACCCAGGAAACCATAGAGAAACTATGTTTCCCTTGACTTCCTCAAGGGAATCAAGTTGATTGCCACCTTGAGTGAAGAAAACAGACTGCACCTGACTACAGGATACCAGGACAATCAGAGAGAGTGATCTCCTGCCCAGCAGTGGTACAGATATCAAAAATATCTTACAGGAAGTCTAATCCTTCCTACTCTATTCAAAAGCAAAAAAGTTTTGACTATACATATAAAAAGAATGGTTCACAAATGAACTCATTTAGGACCTTGCCAGTGAGTTTTTTGTTTGCCTTAAATTGTTACTAAACCCACAACAGTAAAATCAGTCTGTATAAGCAGTAAAGCATGCTTGTTATATTAATTGTGGAGTCTAAGGGGTGACTCTTTCACATTGTGTAAAAAGGATGTTCGATCCTCTCTTTTCTGATCCTCCCCTTCTTCCATTGTCCCCTAAATATCTCCTGATAGAACAGAGGTTTGGAGTCGCTCTGCACATGCTCAGTTTGGTGTGTATTGCTAGAGAGGTTTTTTAATTCTTGAGAGAGTGCATGTGATCAGCACTGTTCAGACAGAGCTCAGGGCTCCTGCATCCTCCTAGAGGGGAATTAAAACTTTTCTTACAAGCTTTAACCAGTGCTCTGCTAGACACTGATAGAAGTGACAAGACTGTGCCAACTGCTGATGAGAAAAGATATTTAGCAGTTTATATTTACTAAACTAATTACATTCCCATGTGCTGTGTACTGTGGGAGTCCAGATATTGTGAATTCAGGGTCCTGGGTTTAGTAACACTTTAAGTGAGTTTTGCTTTCCTATACAAGTCTATGGGCATGCAAAACCCAATTGAAGCAGATGAAATGCAGGTCTGAATATCAACTGCAGGTCAAATACATCTGGTTCTGAATGATCGCAGATGTGTCTCAAACTGATGTCAAATGGAAGCCATTGACAAGCCAAGCTTAAAGCCCATCAACATGGACGGCTTGCAAGACAAAAAAGGTTGTAAAGTGCAAAAACATCTTGCAACGAATCAAAATGAATGCTTTAATGATCTGAGTTTACTTAGCAGATATCTGGTTGCTATGGGATACATGCATGCCATCCTTTTTTACCAGTACTAAAAAATAAAAACAAAAAGGGTTCCATTACTATTTCAAAAATATGCACTAACATACTGCAAAAACTGAGTAGAATAGAATAAACAAAATATAATCAAGAATGATTTTGAATATAAGACTTTTCATAAACCAATTTCTATATAAAATACAGGCACCCCAATTAGACAATATTCTGTGGTTTGCATTTTATTGTATGACCTAGGAAAATATGGCATCCAATATTACTCATAACATTACACTATAGAATTCCAAACCAGAAAGGCATTCATGGACAAAGAGAACTTTTGTAATCCATATGGCCGTGAATGACTCAGAATGCATTGCAGCCTAGGGTGTATATATCAAGACATGAGGAACAAGATGGGATTCAATGACTCACAAAACTCTGCAACATAATACTCACCAGGAAGCATAGGGATATTATGGAGTGCACTGCTCAAACTCAAATGTAATATTAATGCACAGGAACAGTCTGTACTTGCTGGAATTAAAGGGAAAACCACTTTGCCAGGAGCCCTTGAAAATATTTTTTATGCTATTGCCTCCAAGGTCATAAAGTATATTTATTATGCTCCCCATGTGGCATTGCAGAGCTGTGTTATCTGTGAGATCTGTACACACTTAATCTCATGGGGTCATGTTATACGACCTCCATGTCCTTATTCTTGGGTACACAGCAAGAACCCATTCCCTTTTCATAAACATAATTTATAAGTAAAAAAAAACATGAAGAATTGTCTTTTAAAGCCAAATTTTGTTATTTCACTCCTTGATATGCTCTAGTTGAGTCAGCTGCAGATGATAGGAAGGAACTCTGTTCTGAGTTCAATTCTCACCTGGGATACTATAAGGAAGCAATTTGTATACTATCCCTGTGTTGTTTTGTGGGTTTCTCTCCACAGTCCAAAAAGCATAATGATGGGTTAGTTGGCTGCCTCCCAAAATTGACTTTAGAGTGTGGTTAAAGTGGAACTGCAGGACCACAAACCAAAAATGCTATTTAATTAATTGTTAATATTCATAAAAAACGCTCCCATCCATTCATGTTCCAATGCTTTCTTTTGCTGAGAAATAATTTTAAAAAACATGACCCGGCATTTTTGGCCGTGGCCATCTTGAGTAAGAGCAGATGATTCATGTAGCAATTACTTCCTGGAATCCATCTGCCCTTAGCTCAGGCATTGGCTGAGCTGAGAACCCTTCCTCCTCTCCTCAAGACTGCTGGGATGTATGACATCCTTTTTCTAGGCATGGAAACTTAAGAAATGTAAAATCAAATGTACAACAAGTAAATATGATATACTTTCCTATCCACTTAGAAATTCTAGCAGCATAAGTATTAAAAATAGTTCATGTTGATATAGAGAGTAAAGTTCTGCTTTAAGCAAAGTATGCATGGGTAAAAACGAGACCTTTCATTTCAGTAAATTGCATTGGAATTAATGGGAAAGGAGAAATGGTGGTTTTGAAGAGTGCATGGGAGTCCAAGCTGACGAGGACAAAACCCCAACCCTAACCCCTCACTCCGGTCCCCACCTGTCTCTAATTCTCTGTTTTAAAAACCTCTATAACCCCCAATTCTCTCCTATTATTTAAAGTGTTACTAACCCCCAGACCCTACATTCACTATGTCTGGTCTCCCACAGTACACAGAACATGGAAATGCAATTATTTTAGTAAATATAAACTGCTAAATCCCTTTACTCCTCAGCAGTTAGAGCAGTCTTGTGACTTCTATCAGTGTCCAGCCCACCACTAGCTAAAGCTTGTAGGAGGAGTTTTCTTTCTGCTCTAGGAAAATAGAAATCCCCTGACCTCTGTCTGGACAGTGCTGATTGTCCCTGTGCTGATCACATGCACTCTCCCAAGAAAAAAAAAAAAACACCTCTCTAGCAATACACACCAAACTGAGCATGTGCAGAAGGGCTACGGGTTCACTCTGTATCAGGTTGTCATTTCAACAAGAGGAGGGACAGAGAAGAAAGGATCAAATAGCCTTTTTACACAATGCAGAGGATTAACCCCTTAGGTCCCACAGTGAGTATAACAAGCATGCTTTACTGCATATACAGACTGATTTTACTGTTGTGGGTTTAGTAACACTTTAACTCTTCCCATTTTCGCCTACCAACAATTTCAATTGAGGAGTGGCAGAAATCTAGGTGATCACTTCCACCCACCTCCTTTTGGCTTCCTCAGGAACCACTGAACTTTTAACTGATATTTGATGTCTAGGAGAGATATCCATACATTACTGATGATCATCCATAATTGTAATATTTTCGAGGAGGTTGATTTTGTAACAAATTTCAAGAAGAAACTTGGAATAATGTCCCCCCTCCCAGAAAAAATCCATACCCTCTAAAGAAAAAAAAGTAGTGGACCTTTTTTTCCAGCCAAATTAATCTAAGCAGCTCATTAAATAAAGTAATGAATGATGGGGAAGACTGTATTTTCACAAGTAAATGAATCTGGCCAAAATCTGAGCCTTAGTGCTCAAACCCTAGAGGTGAAGATTTACCGTAGATAATGAGCCCTTGACTTCACGGCTGTTAATAGTTCTACATGTTCTGTAAAGTTTGGAGTAAAATAACTAGTTTAATACTCCACAGGTTTCAATTTATTATTTTTTTTTCATGTATTTCTTTTTTAAATTTACTATCACTTATTTGTCTTGATTACTTTAATAATTCATTTTCATTCTGTTATCTTGTCAACAAAAGTATTTTTTACTTAACTTCCTGATGTTTTTCAATGGAATGTATTAATACTTTGTGGTTTGTAATCTGTAAAATAACTATTTTAATGCTACACATATTTCAATTTAATATTCGTTTTCAATGTATTTCTTTTTTAAATTTACTATCACTTATTTGTCTTGATTACTTGATAATAATGAATTTTCATTCTTGTGTCTTGTCAACAGAAGTATTTTTTATTTAACTTCCTGATGTTTTTCATTGGAATGTAGCAAGCATGTTGTATTCATACTTTGTACAGGAGTTTTCCAACTCCCAATATTTCAATATATGCAAACTGAATCAGGACATACAGTATGCCTGTGTATTTTATCATAAAACTGATGTCTCATTAAAGGTGATACTAAGAGGTCCCTGTAACTATAGCATAAAACGTTAAAGCTGTACTGCAGGTAAACAGCTAAATACACTGATGAAATACCTATATATGAACTGTACATCTCCTTATTCAGATACATTCCCCCCATTTAAAAAGCTATCATTTTATTGCACAATGAAGAATGGGAGATTCAACAAGGCTTGAAATATGGTTAAAACAGATTCCTCCATCCATGCTATACAGCACGGATTGACAAATCTGCTGCTGATGCTATTATATCTAACAGACAATGCCAATGGTTAAAAATAAACCCTGCGCATTGTGTAAAGGACAGTGATGTACTTTGCACATCTTACTTTGTACTTTGTGCATTGTTCTTCACTGGCTTCAGGAGTCTAATGCAAGTGGAGGGCTATAGTTATGAATGAGGAGCCGTATAAAAAAAAAAAGTAGATCAGCCTGGTCACATGACCTGTCAACGTAAA